TCTCCTCACACTGCTGGTGGGTTTTCCATTTTGTCATAGGGTGCTGTTATGGCCTCCCATTGCTGCTGCCTCCACCGCCACACTGTTGGCTCCACACTCTGGTTTTGGCCCCGTGACTGCACAAATGAGTGAAGTGTGCGTGATTCTAAGATCGACGGCACTCATCTGCATGTCATACTGACTGACAGTATTATTTCTCTTCCCCTGCAGACTCCAAGGGCAATTTTAAATTAAAGGTACAGTGTTCTGCACTAATATAAAGGCTCTCTGAAGCCTAGAAACAACCTTTTTATAAGTTAAATTCGCAGCGAATATATTCGACTCGAATCGAAATTTATTCCTCGTAATTCGGCCGCCGAATCAGCCGAATCGAATTTTGAATACTTCGCTCATCTCTAATTAAGCAGCATAAGCTGGCACTGTGGCCCTGGCCTGGACATCTACCCCTCAGTGTGTCTGCTGTAATCACTGCATACGCACATACACTTACACTCAGGAGTAGACCAACTTAGGTTTCATTTGCTTACCAAAACCCTCTACCAAAGACCAGATATGGGAACATGAAAATAGGGAGGTAGAGCAATATAAAAGAAGTAGGGATCATTGTGGGAAATCTTTCTAGAAACCAAGCAGAGATCCAACACCTAAATACACAGATGAATTATTTTCCAAATAATAGAGCTGTTTTACCTGCCAAAAAGATTTGTCCATCTTAGGCTGGCCATATATTATACAATTGTCTTGTACAACTTTCCTTCAGATTTGCCAAAACCATATAATATGAGGTCAAACCAAAACACTTTCAATTTGTATGCAATCAGGCAGGCCCTTGCACTACGTAGTTGAAGTGTAAATCTAAAGGAAATTGTGCAAGAAAAATTATATATAATGTATGGCCAGCTTCATTCTGAAACGTACACAGGTCTGTCACAGTGCAGAGTCCAGTCTGGGTAGGAGACCTGATTTATCTCTGCTACAGTTAAGTACCACTTACAAGTTCCCCCCCACCACTAGGAATGAGCTCAGGCATGTTCAGCCCATTCTCTGTAAAGTGAAGGTGAAGCAGCACACCAATGAGCTCAGTTCTTTGTCACTCTGCACTCGCCTCCTATCAGCATGCAGCTAGTCATCACAGAAAATGACTTTGGATTACAAGAGGCCAATACCAGGTTAATTTCTGATACATACACTGTATTTGTTAAAACACACATAGAAAGGTATTAATAAATACAGACCTGTATACAAAGTCAGTATATAGGCAGGTGCAGTTTGGCTTCCCTGAACAGGTGGCGCTGAAGAGCAGAGGAAAGGGGCAAGTCATGTTTCTCTAAGGACTCTGTAGGCGCCATCAGGATAACAGCTGGATACCGCTGCCCTGGAGGACCTCAGTGGCTATCTTTAGTGTGCGCAGTGCTAATAAACATCACTGTCCCCCTTCAGTTGCCATGCATTTGCAAAGTGGCTAGGTCAAGGACAGGACCCCGTTGGTAAGGGAAAGTGTGTCTAGGGCAATAAAAGGTTCCTATGGAGGAGGGTCAGAGAAGGGACTGCTCATCTGTGTTGCCATCTAGGAGCCCTTCCGCATTTAGATGCTTTGTTGCCAGACTGCCTTCCAACTCCCTCTTCTGTCAGAAGTTGTCAGGCATCAGAAGTTGTTTTTGGGTATCCTCTGCAAAAGTCTCTGTAAGTGCTGCAGTGCCATTTTGGCTGTGTTACACAGACTTGGTTACTTCTTTGTCGGGAACTTTTATGTTAATACACTTTACTGCACTCCTCCATTTCTGTGTGCTCTCTCTTCTCTATGGGTACCAAACACTTGACCTCGCATACAAGTAGAAGGTGGGGACAAATCTTTCTACCTGTTAACATTGAAAAAACATCTGCCCATTTTTGTTCTTTGGGCAATCAAACATGAGTGCGGAAAACTGAAAATGCTAAAGTTAACAAAAAGTGTTTTCACACTGCTTTGAAGTAGATCTGTTGGATTTACGTTGATGGTAGGTAGCATTGCTGTATAGACCAATAACAAATACTGTCAGTATCCTTGAGAAAAAATACCTTCATAGCACACAATTTATTTACTGCTCTATTAATAGATTGTGGAGGAGGAATGTGAATGGCTGCTTTGTTCTGATATAAAAGCTGGTTAATCTAGACAAGGATAAACTTCACACCAACAATTAGCTGACATGAACATACTTCATCACACATTCTCTGGGAGGTGATGAGATTAGCAGAACATGCTTTATATTTTTTGTGTTCATTTAAATCCCATCCTGTATGGAAAAAATATAGCTGTATTAACCAAAGACTAGGAACCAAACTGAAATGTAGGACTCTGCAGTAGCCCTCCTGTTTGGCTTGAGGGTTCATCTTTAGTTTGGTCACTAGGGGGTCTCCCTGTTTAGGTAAGCACCATATAAATAGAAGCTTGGGGAGGATTTGGTGGTTGTTGGTGGCAGCGGTAGAAAGCAGAGAGGCTAGACCAGTGTTCCTGATTTAGGCCTTCACTAGAATTCAAGGGCCTCACCAGCAGGGACTATGTAGTACACCAAACCACAGCTTTCCCCTCTAGGGAATACCAGAACTCTCCCTACCACTGAGTGGGCAAGACCAGGGAAGTTGGGGGGCTATTTGTTAAAGAATGTTGCAGAGTGGGTAGTGTCATGCTGTTTCACGTTCATTAAGGCAAAAAAAAAAAAAAAAAAAAAAAAAAAGAACGTGGAGCACTTCTCTCCTTGCCAATTAAGGTGAGTGGCCTGTACCTTGAGAACCTTGTGCAGACCTTGGCAGTGGTGCCCTGGTAAGTTGGTCAGCTAGTGTGCTGATGGAGATGGGTCTGTACCTTGCACCTACTGGCTTAGAGACCTTGAAGTTGGGGGGTGGGGGGGTTGACCCTGGTGGGACAAAGTTGGTAACCACAGGGGATGGGGCTCTGTTAGCTATTTTATCTAGCAAACCAATGGCTCCCTGATAGGCTGTGTAAGCCGTAATAAGTAGCAGGTCCTTAGGGTTTGAGGTCTCCTAAGCAACCTAACCTAAACAACGACTGGGAGAGTGAACCATGAAGGTAGACAGTAACATATGGTTCAATCCAGGCACATTCACATATCTGGCTTCAACAACAGTCACCAAGGGGATCAATTTGTAAAGCAGAAAATATGACTTTCTCAAACGTTTCTTTGGTGTAGGACTGTCCATGTCAATGCATTTTAAATGGGAGCGATAGATTCTCAGCAGTGCATGTTTGTGCAAGACACATTCTCTGTTTTATAAATAGAGCCCTATATGTTTCCCCTGTTCATCCCTGCATTTTACTTTACTTATGAAATGCACCAGTGGTGGAGACTGTATTCAAATGAAGGGTATATGATAGAATGGGGAATCCAGATAGTGGCAAATAGAGATGAGCGAAGTATTCAAAAATTCGATTCGACTGATTCGGCGAATTCGTGGGAAAAATTTCGATTCGAGTCGAATATATTCGCTGTGAATTTAACTTAAAAAAGGGTGTTTCTAGGCTTCAGAGAGACTTAATATTAGTGCAGAACACTGTACCTATAATTTAAATGCCCTTGGAGTCTGCTGGGGAAGAGAAATAATACTGTCAGTCAGTATGACATGCAGATGAGTGCCGTCGATCTTAGAATCACCGCACACTTCACTCATTTGGGCAGTCACGGGGCCAAAACCAGAGTGTGGAGCCACAGTGTGGCGGTGGAGGCAGCAGCAATGGGAGGCCATACAGCACCCTATGACAAAAATGGAAACCACCAGCAGTGTGAGGAGACCTGAAAGTGGCACATGGCAGAGTGTGGCGATAGAGACAGCAGCAATGGGAGGCCGTACAGGGACCCATGACACACTCTGGACCTGGCAGCAGCATGAGGAGGCGGTACAGGGGCCCATGACAGATTACGGGCCTGGCAGCAGCATGAGGAGTCGGTACGGGGGCCCATGGCAGATTACGGGCCTGGCAGCAGCATGAGGAGTCGGTACGGGGGCCCATGACACACTCTGGACCTGGCAGCAGCATGAGGAGGCGGTACAGGGGCGCATGACAGATTACGAGCCTGGCAGCAGCAACTTGGACAGGAGGACGTTCAGCTTCTGCACCGTCGGGTGCGTGCTCGCAAACTGTTGTCTCTTGGAAACGGATTCCAAGAAAGACTGCTGACGGAATCCGTGAAGAGGAGTAGCAGGAGAAGGAGCATCTGAACGAGCGGAATATGCCAACAAGCGACAACAGGGGCCCATGACAGATTACGGGCCTGGCAGCAGCATGAGGAGTTGGTACGGGGGCCCATGGCAGATTAGGGGCCTGGCAGCAGCTATGGAAGGCCCGTAATCTGCCAGCACCCTATGACAAAAAATGGAACACACCAGCAGTGTGCGGAGACCTGAAAGTGGCACATGGCAGAGTGTGGCGATGGAGACAGCAGCAATGGGAGGCCGTACAGGGACCCCATGAGAGACTCTGGACCTGGCAGCAGCATGAGGAGGCGGTATAGGGGCCCATGGCAGATTAGGGGCCTGGCAGCAGCTATGGGAGGCCCGTAATCTGCCAGCACCCTATGACAAAAAATGGAACACACCAGCAGTGTGAGGAGACCTGAAAGTGGCACATGGCAGAGTGTGGCGATGGAGACAGCAGCAATGGGAGGCCGTACAGGGACCCATGAGAGACTCTGGACCTGGCAGCAGCATGAGGAGGCGGTATAGGGGCCCATGGCAGATTAGGGGCCTGGCAGCAGCTATGGGAGGCCCGTAATCTGCCAGCACCCTATGACAAAAAATGGAACACACCAGCAGTGTGAGGAGACCTGAAAGTGGCACATGGCAGAGTGTGGCGATGGAGACAGCAGCAATGGGAGGCCGTACAGGGACCCATGAGAGACTCTGGACCTGGCAGCAGCATGAGGAGGCGGTATAGGGGCCCATGGCAGATTAGGGGCCTGGCAGCAGCTATGGGAGGCCCGTAATCTGCCAGCACCCTATGACAAAAAATGGAACACACCAGCAGTGTGAGGAGACCTGAAAGTGGCACATGGCAGAGTGTGGCGATGGAGACAGCAGCAATGGGAGGCCGTACAGGGACCCATGACAGACTCTGGACTTGGCAGCAGCATGAGGAGGCGGTATAGGGGCCCATAGCAGATTAGGGGCCTGGCAGCAGCTATGGGAGGCCCGTAATCTGCCAGCACCCTATGACAAAAAATGGAACACACCAGCAGTGTGAGGAGACCTGAAAGTGGCACATGTTTGGGGCATGGTTCATGGCGGATTTAGTCAGTTGTGTCAGGAACTGGTGGTTTGAAATCCAGACTAATCCACGCCTGATTCATTTTCACAAACGTGAGTCTCTCCACACTTTGGGTGGACAGTCGTGTCCTCCGCGGAGTTGCAATACCTCCTGCCGCACTAAACACGCGCTCCGATGCCACGCTACTGGCCAGGCATGACAGCCTTTCAAGGGCAAATTCAGCTAGTTGGGGCCAAAGGTCAAGTTTCGTTGCCCAGTAGTCAAGGGGATTGTCTACCTCGGTTGGCAGGGTGCTGTCCAAGTAGGCCTAAGCCTGTTGTTTGAGGTCCTGCTCCAGGTCCACCTGATGCTGCTGCTGCTGCGGCTGGTTAGTAGTTTCCTCACTGCGCTGGTGAAGAAAGCTACTCATCATCGACTGCAGACTGAGGCAGCCGCTGCTGGTGGAGCTGCCACTGCTCCTACCACCCCACCCCTCCCCTGCTGCCATGGCAGCGGAACGCGAGCGCACAGGGCCCACAGTGTCTGAGGATGGACGTTGGCGCAGACAGGCAGAGACCAGCTGACTACATAGGTGGTTTTTATAGTACGTTATTTTGGCCTCCCTCTCAGCAGGTGTGAAAAAGGCCACCATTTTTGAACGGTAGTGAGGGTCCAACAAGGTGGACAGCCAAAAGTCATCCCTCTGTCTGATGGTTATTATTCGTCTGTCGCTACGCAAGCAACCGAGCATGCTATGGGCCATTTGTGCCAAGGAATGCGAGGGACTCCCTGCCTCCATCTCCACAGCATACTGCCACGGTGCGTCTGGGTCCTCTGTCTCCTCTTCCTCCTCCTCTACCAGATGCTCCTGCTTCTCCACTCCTGTCCGCTGAGTGGAAAAACCACCCATTTCACTCAATAATTCCTGAGCACCAATGTCCTCCTCTACCTCCTCCTCTTCTTCCTGTCCTGCCCCCCACAGGGGTCATGTGGCGTTGAGATCTGTGCGCCACGTCTACCGCACCCTGACCAGCCATTGTTAACAGCATTTGTTCCAGGACGTGCTACAGAGGAATGACGTCGTTCATCCCATAGTCCTGCCGACTCACGAATAGCGTGGCCTCCTCAAAGGGCCTGAGCAAGCGCAGGTGTCACGCATGAGCTGCCAATGGCTGACATCTAAGTTACACAGGGAGTACCTTTATCCGCTTTTAACATCAGGAAATCTGTGATGGCCTTTTGCTGTTCGTAAAGGCGGTCTAACATATGTAGGGTTGAATTCCACCTTGTTGCAACGTCACAGCATGAGGAGTCGGTATAGGGGCCCATGGCAGATTAGGGGCCTGGCAGCAGCTATGGGAGGCCCGTAATCTGCCAGCACCTATGTCAAAAAATTCAACACACCAGCAGTGTGTGAGGAGACCTGAAAGTGGCACATGGCAGAGTGTGGCGATGGAGACAGCAGCAATGGGAGGCCGTACAGGGACCCATGACAGACTCTGGACTTGGCAGCAGCATGAGGAGGCGGTATATAGGGGCCCATGGCAGATTAGGGGCCTGGCAGCAGCTATGGGAGGCCCGTAATCTGCCAGCACCCTATGACAAAAAATGGAACACACCAGCAGTGTGTGAGGAGACCTGAAAAAGTGGCACTGTTTGAGGCATGAGGATGGCGGATTTAGTCAGTTGTGTCAGGAACTGGTGGTTTGAAATCCAGACTAATCAGCACGCCTGATTCATTTTCACAAACGTGAGTCTTCCACACTTTGGGTGGACAGTCGTGTCCTCCGCGGAGTTACAATACCTCCTGCCGCACTAAACACGCGCTCCGATGCCACGCTACTGGCCAGGCATGACAGCCTTTCAGGGACCAAATTCAGACTAGTTGGGGCCAAAGGTCAAGTTTCGTTGCCCAGTAGTCAAGGGGATTGTCTACCAGATTAGGGGCAGGGTGCGTCTGGGTCCTCTGTCTCCTCCTCCTCCTCCTCTACCAGATGCTCCTGCTCCTCCACTCCTGTCCGCTGAGTGGAAAAACCACCCATTTCACACTCAATAATTCCTGAGCACAAATGTCCTCCTCTACCTCCTCCTCTTCTTCCTGTCCTGCCCCCACAGGGGTCATGTGGCGTTGAGATCTGTGCGCCACGTCTACCGCACCTGACCAGCCATTGTTAACTGCATTTGTTCCAGGACGTGCAACAGAGGAATGACGTCGTTCATCCCATAGTCCTGCCGACTCACGCAAGCGTGGCCTCCTCAAAGGGCCTGAGCAAGCGGCAGGTGTCACGCATGAGCTGCCAATGGCTGACATCAAAGTTACACAGGGGAGTACCTTTATCCGCTTGTAACATCAGGAAATCGGTGATGGCCTTTCGCTGTTCAAAAAAGGCGGTCTAACATGTGTAGGGTTGAATTCCACCTTGTTGCAACGTCGCAGATCAGGCGATGCTGTGCAATTCCGTTCTGCCGCTGCAGCTCAAGGAGGGTGTGCTTTGCGGTGTAGGAATGGCTGAAATGCATGCAAAGTTTACGTGACATTTTAAGGATGTCTTGCAGTGGGATGGTGGATTTTAGGAACCGCTTGACAACCAGATTGAACACGTGAGCCATGCATGGCGCATGGCACAACCTTCCTTGACGCATGGCAGACACCATGTTCTTTCCGTTGTCGGTCAACATGGTTCCGATTTTGAGTTTGCGCGGAGACAGCCATCTGTCGATTTCTCTGTTCATTACACTGAGAAGTTCCTCCCCTGTGTGACTACGTTCGCCAAGGCATACCAGGTGCAGCACAGCGTGACACCGTTGCGCCCTGCACATGTGATATGCCGGTCGGGTAATGGACTTGGCACGGGGGTGGCGGCTGAGGACACGGCGGCAAGAAGAGGTGGTAGAGGCGGACATCTTTGCCGGACCAAGGACGTGCAAACGTGGAGGCAAAAGCGGCGTGACCTGTCCAAGTTAGGGGTGCGGCTGTGACGGCACCACGTTCACCCAGTGGGCCGTAAATGACATGTACTGTCCCCTGACCGTAGTTACAGCTCCACACGTCGGCGCTGCGTGCACTTTGGCAGAGACCGACATGCTCAAAGACTGGCCCACCATCTCTTCTACATGTGAATGCAGGGCTGGCACTGCCTTTTTGGCGAAGAAATGACGGCTTGGCACTCTCCACCGCGGCGCTGGCACAAGCCATCATTTCTCGGAAAGGTGCTGAGTCCACCACTTGGAAAGGGAGGGACTGCAGCACCAGCAACTTGGACAGGAGGACGTTCAGCTTTTGCACCGTCGGTGTGCGTGCTCGCAAAAATGTTGTCTCTTGGAAACGGATTCCAAGAAAGACTGCTGACGGAATCCGTGAAGAGGGAAGTAGCAGGAGAAGGAGCATCTGAACGAGCGGAAGATGCCAACGAGCGACAACTCCCTCAGCAGAGGTGTTGGAGCCTTGACTGGCTGATGGAGGGCGATTGACGTCAGGTGACGGAGCAAGTAACGGAGCGGGGGGTGATGGAGCGGGGGCTGGGGCGGGCAGAACCGCCGCATCTTTTTATCACGGTTTTCCCAGGCCACCAAATGTGCGACGCTGCATATGCTGCCACAACGCTGTAGTCCCAACATTGGGCCCCTGGCCACGCTTGACTTTCTGGCCACATAGTCGACATACGGCTACGTTTACTTCCTGGGCGGCTTGACAAAAAAATTGCCCACCGCCGCGAGTAGGAAACTTTGCCCCCGATACTCCTCACTGGCTGGACTGCTGCTTCCTCCGTGCACACCGGCACCACTACTGGCCGTGGTGGTAGGCTGCAGTGGAGCTGGTGCTCTACTCCGTGGCCGTTTGGCTCCACTGACACTGCTGCGACCCTGCTGCTGTCTCCTGGGCAACCCACCGACTGTTTTGCTCGCTGCCAAGCTGCCACCCTCTTCTCCAGATGATGCGGAAGAAATTGCCTGATGACGACGAGGGTGCCAAGTGCGATCAACCTCCTCATCATCAAGTAGGGTCTCCGCCTCACTACTAGCCCCCTCGGCTGCGTCTGGGTCAGGAGACAGACCTGTCTCTAGACCGGCTACCGAGCCACTCTCCTCGCCACTACTTCTTCGCCTGGCTGCTGAAAAGGCGGATGTCTCCCCCCGTTCCTGACCGCCCTCTGTTAGCTCTTCCTCACTGTACAGTGGGGCTGAGCCCATAGCATGCGATACTTCGCTTAGTGAGGGAACACCAAAGGACAGGGGCAGGTAGAGGACACGTGATTTCAGTGGGCTTGGTCCCGGGCCATGCCAACTAACGGTTGTGTCTGACGTACCCAATTCCGTTGGCTGTAGGTGTCAGAGGTGACCTGGGAAGAGGAAGACGACCGAGCCAACCAATCGACGACGGCAGGGTTGTCGGTGGAGACACGACCAATTCTGGATGACACCGGGAGCACTGGCCTTCTGGCTGCGAATAGTGCTGCCTCGACCCCTTCCTCTGCTGCCACGTCTGCTCGCTCCTAAAACATTGCCTCCTCTGCCACTCCTCTGCATGTTGTCTAACATACTCTTTAATTCAACGATTCTGTGTCCCTGAGTAACAATTCTGTGTCCCTGAGTAACAATTCTGTGTCTGTCCCTGAGTAACAATTCTGTGGCCCTAAGTAACGGTTCTGTGGCCCTCAGTAACAATTCTGTGTCCCTCAGTAACAATTCTGTGTCTGTCCCTGATTAACGTTTATGTGGCCCTAAGTAACGGTTCTTTGGCCCTCAGTAACAATTCTGTGTCCCTGAGTAACAATTCTGTGTCTGTCCGAGTGAGTAACAATTCTGTGGCCCTAAGTAACAGTTCTGTGGCCCTCAGTAACAATTCTGTGTCCCTGAGTAACCTTTCTGTGGCCCTAAGTAACAGTTCTGTGGCCCTCAGTAACAATTCTGTATCCCTGAGTAACAATTCTGTGGCCCTAAGTAACGGTTTCTGTGGCCCTCAGTAACAATTCTGTATCCCTGAGTAACAATTCTGTGTCTGTCCGAGTAACAATTTCTGTGGCCCTAAGTAACAGTTTCTGTGGCCCTCAGTAACAATTCTGTGTCCCTAAGTAACAATTCTGTGGCCCTAAGTAACGGTTCTGTGGCCCTCAGTAACAATTCTGTGGCCCTAAGTAACAATTCTGTGGCCCTAAGTAACAATTCTGTGGCCCTAAGTAACGGTTCTGTGGCCCTCAGTAACAATTCTGTGTCCCTCAGTAACAATTCTGTGTCCCTCAGTAACAATTCTGTGTCTGTCCCTGATTAACGTTTACGTGGCCCTAAGTAACGGTTCTGTGGCCCTCAGTAACAATTCTGTGTCCCTGATTAACGTTTCTGTGGCCCTAAGTAACGGTTCTGTGGCCCTCAGTAACAATTCTGTGTCCCTCAAGAAAATTCTGTGTCTGTTCGTGAGTAACAATTCTGTGGCCCTAAGTAACGGTTCTGTGGCCCTCAGTAACAATTCTGTGTCCCTGATTAACGTTTATGTGGCCCTAAGTAACGGTTCTGTGGCCCTCAGTAACAATTCTGTGTCCCTGATTAATGTTTCTGTGGCCCTAAGTAACGGTTCTGTGGCCCTCAGTAACAATTCTGTGTCCCTCAGTAACAATTCTGTGTCTGTCCCTCAGTAACAATTCTGTGGCCCTAAGTAACGGTTCTGTGGCCCTAAGTAACGGTTCTGTGGCCCTAAGTAACGGTTCTGTGGCCCTAAGTAACGGTTCTGTGGCCCTCAGTAACAATTCTGTGTCCCTGATTAACTTTTATGTGGCCCTAAGTAACGGTTCTGTGCCCTCAGTAACAATTCTGTGTCCCTGATTAACGTTTCTGTGGCCCTCAGTAACAATTCTGTGTCCCTCAGTAACAATTCTGTGTCTGTCCCTGAGTAACAATTCTGTGGCCCTAAGTAACGGTTCTGTGGCCCTCAGTAACAATACTGTGTCCCTGAGTAACAATTCTGTGGCCCTAAGTAACGGTTCTGTGGCCCTCAGTAACAATTCTGTGTCCCTGAGTAACGGTTGTGGCCCTAAGTAACGGTTGTGGCCCTCAGTAACAATTCTGTGTCCCTCAGTAACAATTCTGTGTCTGTCCCTGAGTAACAATTATGTGGCCCTAAGTAACGGTTATGTGGCCCTCAGTAACAATTCTGTGTCCCTGAGTAACGTTTCTGTGGCCCTAAGTAACGGTTCTGTGGCCCTCAGTAACAATTCTGTGTCCCTGAGTAACAATTCTGTGTCTGTCCCTGAGTAACAATTCTGTGGCCCTAAGTAACGGTTCTGTGGCCCTCAGTAACAATTCTGTGTCTCTGAGTAACGTTTCTGTGGCCCTAAGTAACAATTCTGTGGCCCTCAGTAACAATTCTGTGGCCCTCAGTAACAATTCTGTGTCTGTCCCTGAGTATCAATTCTGTGGCCCTAAGTAACAGTTCTGTGGCCCTCAGTAACAATTCTGTGTCCCTGAGTAACGTTTCTGTGGACCTAAGTAACAATTCTCTGGCACTCAGTAACAATTCTGTCTGTCC